CAAATGTATGCGCTTTCGATGAAAACGATTAGATATCTGTGTTTTTTTTGCCCTACTTCTTCGTCAATCAACTGGATGAGTCAGTCGGGATTAAGTGGAAACCCTATTCCTAGCTTGGTACTTCATAGTGATTCTTTCTTTTGAATAACTTTGTATCATTTTTTATTTGGCATTCTGCGTATGGAAATACTCATAGCCTAAACATTCTTGATCAGGCCAACAAAGAAACCTCTCATGAACTGTTGATTATTGTTTCACAGTGTCGCAAAATTGATGACCGTAAAAATTACTTCCCATAATCATCCGCTTAAGCAGTTTATTCCTGTGAAGGTGAAAACCTCAAGGAAGAACTGATAATGAAACGTAAATAAGCAATTGCTAAATAGCAAACTCTCAAACTCAGAGGCCTGCTTATAAATGTAAGGGTGGTATGGCCTGTAATTGCTTCGCATGTCCTTGTCATTTCACAACTGCTCAAAAATGTTGAGTGATGTATTGGAAAGCTATAGTGGAGGATAAAGTGCTCCACGTGAGGACAAACAGAAGTCTAGTTTGGTTTCTCACAGGAGTTAAAAAAAAACATGTTACGTAATAATAGAATACGACTCATTTTAGCAATTACCAAAATCTCTCTTCTTTTATTTTGTGAATCTAAAAGATCAGTTAGCTGAAATTCCGTTAAAAGTGATCTAAGAGGGAACTTGGTCAGTTGATTGCCTCAGTTTTGCAAAAATCTTGTAAACAGGAAAACACTCGAAGAAACGGTTTTTCGTTTCTGTTTGTCGCAAAGAAGGTCACAACAAGGTTCAACTTCATTAACTTTCACTGATATACTGACTACCATGCTATTTTATCGCAGATTTTGGCGGTCTGTTAAAGATTCAAAGGCCTAAGGGCGTGAGCTATTTACTCGGATAAGAAAACTTATCACTAAACAAACTTCAGCTTATTTTCTTTACAGTATTACTTCCCAAAAGGGATTACTCACACCGCCTAAAGGGCCGGATTAGTCTGCAAGCGTAGCTTATAAAGATAAGCTATTACAGCGTGCTTATTGTAATTCACAGTGCACTTCTATGATTGTAAATGATGAGATAAATTTGGTAACCTTGGTTTGCGTGCTTCATGTTGTTTTGAAATATTTCGGGACAGAGAGTATGACTAGGCGCGCCAGTGATCTCTTCTTGACCTCCTCTCAGCCCCCAAGGAAGTCTTATTCTAGAAACTGCAATCTGTATTTTGTAATCTGCATTTAGTTTCAGCTGCACTGCTTGTGCTGTAGATAGACACGGAATACGCAAGTGACTTCTTAACACCTTCTTTTTAAATTTGGGAAAACTCACGATAACACAAACTTTCTCCCTGTCTTCCCCTTTTTTGCTCGTTTAAAGAGCATTGCTTAAAAGTCCAATACTGTAAGAAACGCAAGGAATGTACCAAAACACCAGTGCAAAAACTTACGAAATCCTTTAATTTAGTCAGCACTGTACGCAAACACAAGTATAACCACCAACTAAATAGCTTCATCTTGTCCACGCTGTTGCTATTCGAGAAAATAGGCTGGTTGAATCAGATAGCTCAGACAGTGAAACTTAACGGATTTTAGTTAGTAGATCAGTTTTATTAGATCCATCCAAGGAACTGTATTCCAAGTTAAAACGGTTATAACAAAAGTATGTTAAGTATGAGAAGATTGCGCCGCCCTAGCCGTTGCATGTTTTTTGCCTCTTGAACACAAATTTTCGTATAATATATCGCGCTGTTACAATTGCCGCAGTATTCAGCTTGCACTTAACTACACTAGCACGGCGTAGTTACTTGGATAACCTTATGTTTATGTTAAGAGCCATGGGGTTATATGGGGTTGACTGAATTTTATCACATTGTGCTCAAACCTCGAACGCATTTAAGAAGTGACGTGGAAAAAAAGCCTTGGACCTCTGACTGTTGTCCCTGAAAAGTAAATGTCATAATTTCTCGCAGACGATGACACTGTCACTTCAGGGTCTCTATTGAACGGTTTTAAACTTGAACTGCAATTACTTGAACTGTAATTTCTTTCTTCAACATTTCTTAGTTACGTAATCGAGTTGGCCAAGATTGAGTTGGTTTCCAGAAAGATGTTTTCTTTCGATACTCGAAACCTAACAAGGAATTCCTAAAGTGGTTGACCTCACGTGCGATAAACTCGTAAAATGCTGAGATTTTGAGACAACGGTCTTTGTTTAAGTACACATGCAAAGTTCAACTGGAAAACGTTCCTTAGAAGGTTAGGTTGGGCCGTTAACCCACGCTCCTTACTTAAGTCTGACAGGTCTGTTCTTCAAAGTACCACTAGGCCGAGCTACGTAGAAGTGTTCGTAATACCTGCAGCGCGCTTACAATTGTCAGATAATTAGCAAGTGATTTACTGAAGTCCCATTTATGTTCGCAGCGCAGATGTAAGAATTACTTGAATGTCCATTTTGACCGCACTAAGATTGCAAAGACTGCAAATATACTGAGTTTTCTCACAGCATTGTACACACGTAGACGATAACTCTTACACTTCGCTGCCTGGTGTTACTTGGTCTCTTGGCCAGTTTTAGAATTAAAGGAATGATTGTCCATTTTTCAGTTACGTACTTAAGATTTAAAAAAAGATGTTTTCTTTCCCTGCAATGCAGTTGACCTCGAGATAAACTTGTGAAACGCGACGTCCGCCACGGAGCTCATATTTGTCACTCGGAGTGGCATATGTCTTATGGTTACCAAATTACGACTGATCCGAGCAATAAATTAAACCGGTGTGTTGTGTAGATCGAGAAAAGATTTCAGAAGTATGCAAAGAAGTTCACGGATACTGTCAGGTCAGTATGGGCTAAATTAAGCTGATGGGCATTTAAACAACAGTTGATAAAGAGATGCGGTGTTCACGTTTTAATTCTGAGCAGTCAGGAGGACATGGAAAAATGGGAACAAACGATAGCTTTAATCATTTTAGCTGCATGTCGAGCAAAGGGAACTAATTCAGATCCAGATCAGAATAAATAGCCATCTCGCAATTTGCTTGCAAGAATGTCGTGAAATGCCTTGAATGTATCTTCGGAACGACGTCGAAAAGCTGGCGGTCTTTCAAGATAGCTGATGATGTTTTACTTGACTAACCATATTACAGCAACCGCATAAGCTTTCTCATTTCATTCATGTGTGGCATTGATTAATTCCGGGAATAGAGTCATATGGAACTAATAACGAAAGGGGCTTGAAATAGAGAAAAAAAAAAATATCAGAGACACGAGAGGTCTAACGGGTTATCATAAATGTAACGTAATGTTATACATCATTTTTACCAAACATTATCAGAGAATTGAGTTTAGTCTAGTAAAGCCCTTTTATCAAAGAAGACAGAAGCACGGGATTTAATAAGAAATGTTTACTTAGCGTAAAGAGCCTTTCATGTGCAAAAAACTCTGATGACCGATAGCTTAAGATATATTTCAACGTTAATCACTGAGCTCAACGAAACAACTTTCATCGCGCGCTATGATTGGTCAGTTCGAGTTCATCAAGGTCGATATATCAGGACGACAAAATAGTCAGCCTCGTCGCACGCTTGCACGCTTTATCGGGCTATAATGCACGTGTTTGAGTGCCAGTGTAAGCGTGCGCTTTCTGTTATGCATTTCTCCATGTTCTTAAAATTTCCTACATGCTTAGGAAGTTATGTAACTGAACGAACGATGCACTTGGGTGAAGGTGAACTCCATTATGAGCTACTTAAAATCTGTCCCTCACTGTTTCAAAAGGATGAAAATGGGCTTAAGAACCAAATCACATTTTTTTTTTTTGTTATTCCCTTTCGTTCCGTGACAGGGGGCGGGATTGGGGGGCGGGAACTCTACGGAGGGTGAGAGCCGGTCGTTGGGAGTAGTTTTTAAATTGATTTTAAAAGTTTTAATTATAACTGACTTTAAGTCCGGCGCTGTGACAATTTATCCCGTCACCCCGACCGCCTACTGCCAAATGGCATTTTGTTCATTCTGAGATTTTGTTGCAGCGCTCACTTGCTATGCAGCAACTATCCTGTAGTAAAATTTTTAAATCATCCTATTCGCTATCAGATGCGATGTGAGTAACTGGGGTCTGCGCAATCAATATGCACCTCAGGAACTGGAACAAGTCACTCTAGTGCAAGGATTGTCACAAAATCAGGAAATACACTTTTTTTTCAAAATTATGTAATTTCTGGTGCATGCACACATTATTTATTTGAACATCGCATAGATATGTACATATACATTTATTTATAAAGTTACAGCTGAGTAGATCATTTATATAGCAACGCCTCACTCGTTGTTATTATCATGGACAAGTGCCTAGTCCTTCTTCAGGTCCGTACATTTTCTTTCAAGGTCTCCTGTTCGAAAACGTTTTATTTTTGAGGTTCATCGCATCATACATCTCTATCACACACATGCTTCCTTTTTCATTTCCAACAGGGTCTTCAATGTTGTGATCATCTGCTTACATGTAACGTAGTGGTTTGTTCAAGATATTAAGATATAATCACAACACAGACAGATTTGTATAGGTAATCGCGTGAATGCGAGTGCAATTAAGGATTTACACTACTAGTGATATTTTGAAAATTCTCTCAAAATTGCACGAGCCTTAAGGCGAGTGCAATTTGAAAGGATTTTCAAATATCACAAGTAGTGTAAATCTTGAATTGCTCGAGCTTTTATACGATTACTCATTTATTATATGGCTGGGAAAATTGCAAACGCGCGCGCATTAATTTGCACTGCAGTGCAAATTAAGAATTAACGATAAATTGGCCTGCTCTCAGCCAATCACAATGAAGTAATTTTCTCAGTCATATAATAAATTATTTTAACAATTCTAAGAAGGGATACGTGATCAAATAGTCCACTCTCTCGAAAAAATAACTCAAGAGCATTGCTTTATCTGATATGTGTATACACTATATTTCTACAAAAGCATAACGTTTTTCGTTCTCATTTCCTCGGTAATAATGAGATCTAATATTCTTATATGTTTGTCCCTCTAAATTCACTCATCCTTAAATGTTGTTTTCTTACTCACAGTTTTTGATCTCTCCATGGCTTTATGTGCTCAGGGACACGAAGAAGATTGAGTGAGTGAGCAAGTGAGGGATTCAGATCCAGATCTTAAAACTTAGAACCCCTTTATATAGCACACTATTTAGAAATTGGAAACATTTTCAACATCGCAACAAACGGTATTACATTAAATTGCTGCCCTCAAGATCACTTTCATTCGAATGGTCACATACAAGGGTTTTGTTTAGAGTTAAAACAATACATCATTACTCATGGTTTGGTTACGAGTGTGGAAGCAGATTAATCTTTACTTTTTTCTGTCCATTAAGTCCCCGTTTTTAAAATAAGTTATCTCATCTCCAGTTAAATTGTCTCACACAAATATCGATGGGCTCGATAGCCTCCGAAAATGCTCAGGAATTTCTGCTGTCCACGTGAGACTTCCATAAATGTTCGGGAATTCCCATCTTTTAGCATTCCTCCGTATTGCCGTGTTTTCTGTTGTTCTTTAGTTTGGCGGGCACCCGTTGTAATCCTTCGCTCACCTATTTTCTGCTGTTTATCACAATCCTGAAACACCAATAGAGAAAAAATAGTGTCAGGTTTATTTAGCTGGTTAAATGAGATAATTTCGCGTGATAATTCGGAGAAACGTGAAGTAATATATCAAAAACGAGAGCCAGAGTTTTACCACTTTATCGAACACCGAGAAGAGAGTTGAAAATACGATAAACAGTGTTCGGAAATGTGGTGAAACACAGTCTTGAGTATTTCATATATCTTCCTCATCGAAACTAAAACTACGGAGAAAACGGAAAAATAGGATTGTAAAATCTTTTCCAATTTAGATCAGATATCCAAATATCGTCCCGGTTGGGATTTCCTCTATCTTAAACTTCATAAAGTATTAATGGTTTGAGAACGGTACTTCGATAACTACATCTATCATGAGGTCCAAAATGAAATACTGTTCTGTAGTTCTGACCTGAAAATTATAAAAAAGAAAAACTGCACAATATTCAGCTAGTCTTTTTAACTGGTAGTCAGAAGTTTCTGAAACCTTCTCAGTTAAAATCCAGAACATTTCCTCAATACCCTTTCCTTGGCTAAGTTTCGTATCGCGCCTTGCCCTTTTTAGATGACTGAAACTTACCTCCGCAAACTTTTTCCTTCGCTACAACCACGATTTTCTTCAGAGCTCTGAACGAAGTGGCAGTGATGACGTCTTGGGGAGACGACGCAATATTTATCAACTCCTTTCTCGCCAGATTGCGACCAACACCCACTACTATAATATGAACGCCTCTTTCCTTTAGCACCTTAGCTTCCATAGCTGTAATTCTAGTATTCTTTGAAATGCCATCTGTCATTACAACCAAGAATTTGGGAATTAAGGGACGGGAACTGCCCAGTGGTTTCTCGAGAAATAATTTGGTCCTCGCCAGTCTCAGGGCCCGGTCGGTGTATGTGCCTCCTTTGACGTACCTCATGCTGTCAACGGCTGCATTTATGTCCCCGTTCGTGTAGTATTCTTCGAAATTGAATATCACTCTGGCAGTAGTGGAGAAGCGGATCAAACCCACATGAATGCCAAGCTCAGAGATTTTGAACCGCTGCAGAACGAATTTGATGAAATCCTTGGATTTTCTAAAGCCACTTCCTCTGACGCTTGTAGATGCGTCAATGGCGAAACCAATATCGGCTCGCTGGTTGCAAACTAAACAATGAAAAACATTAAAACATATGTTAGCTATAAGAATCAGGGAAGCACAAAGCCTACCTCTTATCAGTGAAAGGAACGTCTTGGGTCCAACCGATCGAACGTTTTGACTGTGTACAAGATGTTGCAGTTTTGGTACGTCCAAACTTATGTAAATGAAGCGAAAATGTTATGGGGTCAAGAAGAAACAAGTGATGCCAGTTCTCTTTCTTTAATGGCACATTTCTGATGCAAGATGATAGAAATACGTGAATATTTGAGAATAGATCACAACAGTTCACAAAAGGCAAACCATAATCACCTGCCAATAACTCCTTCTACATACAAGTGCCTAGTAAGCTCATTCTCTCTGTGTGAGTACCCAAAAAGAGATTCCACAATCTAACCGTAAGCAGGAGTTCATAAGGCAGAATATAAGAACTCGAAATATTTACTTTTATTTACCTCTGATTTTGCAAATGAAAGGGAGATGGTGTAAACAATAATCATCCTTCCATCGCCCCCAGTGCGGGTCAGCGGTTATAACAGCGCAGTCCTCCTTGTTGCCCCTGTGATGGCCTGAGGGCTCCCCCTGAACCCAGCGCTGATATGTGAAGGGTTTGCCATCGGTCCAACTGAAGTTTCCTTCAGTATAGAGGTCCGAAGCTCCTATCCACCATTTGGGATATCCAAAGTAATATCTGAGCATTCGCAGCTTCGATTCTATGTATTTGTTCTCTCGTAAGTCTCGCACGCTGGCCAGGTGACCGCCCTCTGCATCACGACAGTAGATTTCGGCTTCCGGCCAGGTGAGCATCTCGTAACTCAGGAAAAAGAACTTGTATATGAAGGTGCCACGGTCAAACTCTGGAATTAGGTAAACAGTGAACATTAGAAATTCTCGGACAGTTTGTTCAGATAAGACGGACGATCAGAAGTTGAATTAAGGGGTCAGGGGAACGCCATTCGATGTTAACTTTCAAAATGATCATATATAGAATTTACACGTACGTCTAATTAATAGCTTAATATTGGCCCCACTTGATTCTGTTGGTTGATAAACTTCAAGTAGAAGTGATCTTATAATGCATGAAAAACGCCATTGACTATTTAGTTGTGTTGCCGAGTAAGACGAGGGTGACATTGAGGAACCTAACATGCCTAGCATGGCCTGACTTGAACGCTGTGATGTAACCTACCACTTTTAGTCCTTACTTACCATAGCCAAATCTCTTGGGCTCCACCAGTCTCCTTGGGACACCTGCGTCAAGCACACAAATTAAAAGAATTAGTTAATTCTCAGGAACTTTCGACATTTTTTAACCCTCTTAATTAAACAAAGTTCTCAAAACTACCTTTGAAATCAGTGTATTGGACTCACTATAGGGAGATTTGCCATTTCGACTTCAGGACGGACAAATCAGATAGAGCGAAGAACTTATTCTGTCCCCCTTACATCATGACTGTTGTTGAATACTGAGGCAACGAGAAACAGTGAAAACGTCATATTTTTT